AGGTCACATTATCAAGTTCCAGGAAGCACATGCATTGTGGGTGGGGGCACAGGGATACCTGACAAGACAGCAGTCAACCCAGTACAAGGTTAGTGTCAGCTGGGTGGGGGGAATAAATGGGGAAATACACCCCAGGCTAGTGACATCAGGACGCTGTTAGCAGCCTAGTCCTGAAGAGGCCAGGGCAGTGAGTCACTTTAGGGCCCAGCAGGGAAGGAACAGGAGGCCCTGCCTCTCTTACTGCTCTCTCACTGACCCCACCCAGGAGGGAAGTGGAGGCCTGCTGCCCACTGCCTCCCACAGGTGGTGACAAGGACGGGCTAGTCCCTACCCACAAAGAGCTCTGGCCAGTGAAGATGTCAGACTGGAAACCAGTAATCACTACACAGGGTTACACATTACAGCGGGGATACCTGGGGTGCAGGAGAGGGTCACCTGACCCAGATGAGGGAGTCACGGCTGATGGCATCTCAGGCGCCAACAGGGAGTTGGCCGAGAGGTCGGGGAGGAGAGGGGACAGGGTCCAGCAGGGGGACAAGCACGAGCAAAAGCTGCAGAGCAGCTGACAGGTAAAGAGGGAGGGGACAGCGCCCACACAAGCCAGGGCGGGAGGGGGCTCTGAGGCTGCTGGGCCTCAGAGCTTGGGGAAAAGCCTCAAGCTTAGGAAGCATAACACTTTAAACATCTTAGAGAAGGGAAGGTGAAATCAGAACTTGTTTACTTAACAGGGAGAAGAGAAGCTTCATTTTACCTCCACCGATCAAAGAGCAAGAATTCTAGCAGTATGGGCTGCTAACCAGTGAGCGGGGTGATTTTTTATCACTTACTAATGTTGCTAATGAGGGGCATGAAGAAGCCTCCCACTATGAAGCATGTTCCAGGCAGACAGGAGGCATACGCTGAGGAGCCGCCCACCGCCTGACCGAGGGCGGAGGAGCAGGCCTGCTGGGTCCTGCAGGAGCAGGGGTGTCCAGCCCCCCAGAGCTGCCTCGGGCCGCAGAGCTCTCCTCCCTGCCCTCCTTGACTGATGTGTAAAAGCTCTGTTTCCACCAAGGTTCTCCTCCTGGATGGGAAGCGTCTAGGCAGCTGCCTTGGACATCCAGAGAGTCATCCTCAGGGTGTATCTGTTGGTCCCACCAGGCCAAGGGAATGGGAGGGATATCAGAGGGCTTGGTCTCATCTCCGAAACAAGAGGGCACAGAAGAGGTCTAAGCTGGACAGGAAAACTGCACTGTATTCAGAGTCACAGAAATCTGGAGGGGGTGACCGGGAGAAATGGCAGGAGTGGAAAGGGGGTTGCCTTTAGGCTGTGAGATGAGGAGCAGAAGGACAGAGCCCTGCTTGTCCAGACCATTTGACTATAGTACTTTCAGTGCAGTTTTAAACTATAGGTGTACATTTTCAAATAAAATAAAAATAGATATTAAAAAAGAGAACACTGGGCTTAGCCTAGGTAACGGCTTGTACATAATGGGGCTTTAGACCCAATGATAAATGAGTATGGGACACATTTTGGACAGGAGAGCTTTGCAAGTGTCATAAAATAATACAGAGACAGCCGCTTGTTTGCAAAGATGGCCCTTAGCACATTGCCTGTGTAAGAGGGTGAGCAAACCTCCTGGCTTCCAGACACCTTGGCAATGTTTCCTAGTGCAGATACTTCTTGCTTTTCTTCCGTAGGTGTGGAGAGAGAAGTGTTTGCTAAGAAAGTGCCCCAGGGCCTTTGGGAAGTAACTGGATCCTAATTGGGGTGGCCTGGTTGAGGAGGGGTCTGCAAGTGCCAGCAGGAAATTACTTACACATCCATCAGCCAAAGTTCCTGGCAACCGGGCTCCTCTCTGGGGCCACCTTGTTGCCTGAACCTGCCTGCTGTAAATTCCTCCTCATTTTAAGCAGGTAGTATTAGCTCACGGACAGTGGAAACAGGAAGCTGACCCTGACACATCCGCTAAGGAGTCAGACCCTCAGCTGAGCTAGTGCAGATAAATGTGATAAGCAAGTTGGGAAATTGTGATAAGGTCTTCAACAAGGCTCAATATCCTTCAGTCCAGGGGTGGTTTGGTAAAATATGTGGCTTAAATCAAGGGGCTATACTTTAAAGCCCCCTCTGGGTCTGTGTTTGATGTTTATAAGAGAGGGTGCCTCTATTTTAAGCAGCACAGGAGCAGTGTGGTGGAGGAACATGGGTCACCCTGTTCTCCAGGAGCCCCCAGTTCTCTTGCTCACCTGGGGCACCCATCCTTCCCCAAGTCAGGCCTTGGATGGCAGGGCTCCTTGCTCAGTCAGCTGAACCTATGCTACTCCCCAGGGGTGACAGTCACGAAGCCAGCCCCCTTTACAGCCTACAGTAATGACCTTGTCCCCTCTGTGGTCACGGGAAGGCTTTGCTCAGGCTCCCCCCATCCCCCACAGCTGTTTTCTGGTTCATTTACTGTTTAACTCATATGATTGAAACCATTCATTTTTAATCCTTATCATTGAAATCCTTTCCAAAACTAGGCTTGTGTAACTAATAACATGCAACTCATTGGCTATGGAATTTTTTCTTTGGCATCACTCAGGTCATCAGTTGTAACCGGGCAGTGTCAGCAGCCTGGCAGGAAGGCTGGGACGTGGCTCTGAAGAGGCAAGTTCAGATCTTGACTCCACAGTCTACTGCTGGGGTCCTTGCAAACCTCTCTCCTGAGCACCAGTGTCCCTGCCATGACCTCTGGGAGGTGGGCGTGGTGGGGAAGGAGGGCATGTGTTAAGGTATGGGCTGCACAAGGGCAGAGATTTGCACCTGTTTTGCCCCTTGGTGGCTCGTTCTCCCCAAGCACCAAGCCTGGCACATGGGAGACAGTACATCTCTGCTGCTGAGTGGCGAGCCACAGGTGCACCGTAGAACTGTGAGTGCCCAGATGCTGGGGCTACTCTATCTCGGTGAGCACAGCAAGTTGGCATGAATATGCAGTGGTTCTAGGACATGCCCTGGAGCTGGGGGTAAGGGACACCTAGAAAGTCCCTTTCATCAGCTTATCTTGTTGATTTGCCATTTTCTTCTACAAATGGAATTTGATTCCCTGCCACCTCAACTTTAATAAATACACTGTTAAGGTTTCTTTATGTGGCATAATGTTAATAGAGGTTTTAAATCCAAACATGCCTACCGAGTTCCTATGGATGACTTCACAGCCCTCCTGCTGGCAAACGTGGAGCGTCGGTGAGGACACGGCATGGCCCCTGTAACCGAGTGGGAACATGGAGCGACACCAGCAGCCACATCTTCCTGGCAAGAGACGGTGATGGCAGGGTCCTCCTGCTAGTGGCCACTGCCAGGCTGACACTAGCACTTACTAGATGGGACACATTGGGACCGTCCCTTAAACTCAGTGCCTCAGCTTCTCCTCTAACACAGGCTCACTGAGTGCTTAGATCTTTACATGCTGTGTCTGTTAGGAGAATGACAGGTGCCATTCTCAGGGCGTTCACAATCCAGTTGGTACAAAACTACAGAGAACCTCAAGCCACATAACCTAAACCCCCCCTAAATCCTTCCATGTTACAAGTTTTCTGATTGTAACTTAAATAACAATTTAAAAACTCTTAGAAAAAACTCATGCTTTTGTTTGATACTGTATTTTCTACGAATCAATCAGGGCACTAATTGCAGGAAGCACTGGGGCAGTGAAGTGACCTTCACCTGATCTTGCTTCATAACTGGATTTTTCCACTTCCATTTTGCTCAATGGGGAGACTTTTAGGGTCCTTGCACTGAGACCCCATATCCAGGGCCACAGATCCACAGCACCTTTCTGTTGAGTTCCAGCACTGCCCACAGGTGGCAGCCGGCAGCCCAGTGTGGCCCAAAGTGGCCCCCAGCTGGTTCTTTCCAGTGCCGGGTCTCAGTGCTGATGCCAGTAAGAACCTAAAACTCCCAGCCTGGTTAAGAACCTCCCCGGCTCTCATCTTGCAGGCGGGGGGAAAGGATTCGTTTAGCCCTCCTGACTATTGCACTTGGTCCATGGCTGCTTAGACGCTTGTTCTAGCAGCTAGACTACTAGAACTGGCCCTGGAGTGGAGAGAGACATATAAACAAGGGCATATGTCAGTGCCATTAGCAAAGGAGTGGTGAGTGCCCCGGCTGAGGAAGGGCTTTTGGTGGCCATCTCAGAGTAGGGGTGAGTGAAGTACCCAGAAAAGGCCCCTGAATCGGTGTTTTCTTACTAATGTAATGGAGTATAATTTCCTGAAGTAAAACCCACCTCCTTCAAACTTGTATTAAACATCTCCATTCATTTATCAAAACTTGCTTGAGTCGAGATAATTTGGTATATTCTTAAGGTGAAAAACTATTTAGTCATTTAAAACTCTTCTGAAGTTTTGACATAGTTGCCAAATTATGGCACAAAAGAATGGCAAATGATGAATGAAACAATTCCAATTAAGAACAAGTATACATGCATTTAAAAAGTCTGGAGGAATTCATGCCAGAATGCTGTCTCCGGGAGGTGCGGTTACTGGCTGACTTCCTTCCTTATACTTTCCTGTATTCTCCCAGTCTGCCAAGGGTGTTTAGTAATTGGTAATAATCTGAGCCTCGGTAATGCGTCAGGCTTTGTGCTGGACCATGGGGGTTGAGCCCTGGAGGACTGACCTGGAAACACGTCACAGTTGTACTGGGGAGGCAACAGGAGCACCACCACAGGGATGGCAAGAAAGGGCTGGAAGCAGTAAGAAAGCCTCCAGAGGAGGTGACAGCAGGGCCAGGTACTCACATGGAACTATTCACCAGGTAGAGAAATACGGGAATTGCATCTCAGAAAAAGGAAACGTGCAGATAGATGAGGATGTCTTGCAGAAAACTGATCTGATTAATTAACAATAGTGTAGATGAAGAAAATAAGCCCTTGGGTAAAGGTGCTTATTTATCCTCACAAAATAATTAAGGAAACACAAAGTAGAGACACTGTGAAAGGCTGTTTTGCCCATCAAATTAGCAAAGAAGAAAAATGACTTACAGCAGGTGAGGGGGCCATTGGAATCACTCATTCTGTCAGAGAGGAGTGCTGGGCCGGCCATCCTAGGAGGCAGTTTGGTGGTATTTATTTAGTTTTAATGTTCCTCCCCACCATCCCAGTAACTTTGAAAACTACGTGACTGAATTTGACAGAGTTGAATTTGAGATGTGGACAGAAATCTACACACCCAGGTGGTCAGAGTGATTCTATTCATGTATCCATTTTTTATTTTGGGGAGTGGGTTCACAGGTGTTCATCACATTACTTTGCTACATTGCTGATATATTTGAACAGGTATTTGTATGCATTAAGTATTACATAATAATTACTTTAAAACCTGAGTTAAGTATACACATTATATTTCTACAGCATCTGGCATTTCCAGAGCATTTCATCCTCATTATCTTATTTGATCCTCATGACCTTCTTGCAAGTTAGGCAGGGCAAGTCTTATTCTGGGGGAAGAATAGACATGGCACCCAGCTTGCAGCCTCCCAACTGAACCCTTCCTCAGAGAACCTATCCATCCTTAGGCCCTTGTATCACCACTGGCCATAGCAAGGTCATCTGTAATATCAGAAGTAGAAGCCACCTTTCACTGCCACTAGTAGGGAAGAGTGACATCCATTTAGAAGTAAGGGACTAATATACAGCCATGAGGAATTATCATTTTGGTAAATTTTTTACCACCATGGGTTAACATTGGATTTGCCCCAAATGGGTCTGTAACTTTTTTCTCATTTCTTTGTAGCCCTCTAGTATATGACTTAGGGATTCACCACACACTCAGCTGTACTTATTTAACTGATGTACTGAGAGAGCCCCTGGGAAATGGAATCTGATCTAAGGATGAAAAAACAAGGTCAAAAACCAAAACCAGAAGAAAAAAGGAACAAAAAAATGAATACACTTTACTTTTTTTCTTTCCCAAGTGTTGAATAAAGTACAGTTCTGTTGCAAAATGAGGCCTAACATTCAAGTTGGTAAGTATGTGCTGACTGAATGCTGTGTGGTGGGCGAGGGGAGCGCATATGAGTCACACTCTCTGCCCTTGAGTTGCTGCCCACCGGGAACTGCAAACCTGCCAGTTTCCTGACGTCTCGTCTCCACCTTGGCAATCTCCACCAATCTGTCTGCTCCACTGGTTGTGATGCATTACTGAATAATCTCACCTCCTGGGTGGAAAAATAATTTGTTTTCCACTCTTGACAATAGCATTCTCAGTACCCTTCCACTAAACCACGTAACTCAGGTAGGTGTGTGCACGTATACCTCATTATTTCCTCCTTGTTGGTTGCTGTTTTATTATGAGATATAGCTTCTCATAATAAAATACCCACTTACATTTAATCTACATATCTGTGTATTTCTAGAAACTTCAGTCTCTTCCCACTCTCATGCCTATTAGTGCTAATGAATATAAGCATTAAGCGTTAGTCTGTTCATCACAGATTAACTTGTGATTGTCATAAACAATTACCTGGCTGAACCACCTTAGTCTGATCCTCTTCAGGAAGAAACCACAATTGAAATGATTAGGATAAACTGGAATCAGAAGTTTCCCAAAGACCTGTTGACAGGGAGAAGGTGCTTAGCTTAGAATAAAACAACAGTATAATTGATATTAATCGATAACACTTGCTAACTGTTTTAGTGTACTAAGCACTGTGGTGAATTCATTAAAAACATCTTGTTTAGATATCACAGTGGCCCTAAGAGGGCAGCTAACTATTATCTCCATTTTGTAGATGGGTAAATTGACTTCAGGAAGAAATGAACAAAGCTAGGATTCCAACCCTGGGCCTGACCCCTACCCACTAAATGCCATAAAAATTCAAAAATTTTTTTTAAAGTTGTAATTCCAGTATTGTTTATATCTATCTGTATATACACCTGTATCTATATGTTTTTGTGCACATATACAATTAAAATTACAAGAATTTAAGTGTTTTAATAAACAACCTCCCATTTCCAGAGTTAAAATTCATTTTGTTCAAAGTCCCTGCTTTTTATCTGAGCAGTTGCCACAAACTTTAAAAAGAAAACAAAAGACCTGTTTGTAGGGTTTTTTTTTCTCCCTCAGTTCTGAAGGTCTTTTCCCAGAAGGGGCAGGCTCAGGACTCAGCCAGTCACCATGGCAACTGCCTGGAGGTGGGTCAGAAAGGTGTGGAATTAGGAAGCAGACCCCCAGGAGGGACCCAAGCCACGTTTCTCAGTAACAATCCCCCCGCAAGGGCAGAGTCACCCTGGCAGCCCCTCTGCGTGGATGAACCGTGGCCAGTCCACACCGTGTTTTTTTTCACTCCATTTTTTGGGGGGAGAGGAGGGGAGTCTCTTATTCTTATTTAAGAAGGGCAGGAAGACAATTTCTTCCTGGGAATGGAGCTCAGAGGAGCTGTGGGCACTCCCTCTCTGTTCACCTGGAGGCCTGCCGCCGCTGCCCTCCAACGACTAATCTGCGCAAACTCCTGGGGGGGCAGACGACGAGCATCCCTCCCAGTGGGTGACGGGACTGGCCGGGGTTGATGGGAGGCCCCTGGTAGTGGATGATGGGAAGGGCCTCCTTGACGAGGTTCTTAAGAGATGGAAGAGGATTTCCTCCTTCTTTCCCAGTGAAGAACCCCTTCTGGTGATGTCATTGCCTTTGTGCCTCTCATTCCCCAGAAGAAAGGAGGAGGATGCGTTAAGCAAGTGTTCTGAGGGTCTCAGAGTTTGAATGCACTGTTTCTGTGGTCACCAAGCACTTCCAGATCACCCGGGAGCTGGGGGTCAGGGAGTCAGGGGCCGTCACGAATCAGCTTGGCCTGATGAAGGCTCTCTGGACTCCACAGGGCTCTCAGAGTGAGCAGGTGAGGCTCCCGGCCTGACCTGAGCCAGGGGACAGCCTCCTTTTGGAGGCAGGAGTTTGGCTCTGGTCCAGTTGCTGCAGCAGGGGGCTGGAGGTGGTCCTGTTTTTTAACCCCATCTTGCCTCATTTGGACCATTGCTAAACCTGCCGTGTGGTGAAGCTACCGTAGATGAAGATTGGCGGAGGGGGGACTGACTAATTCGCATGAGATGTAAATCAAATTGTAAATGTTAGTATTAACTAGCGCTCTGGCCAGGCACTCAGCTGCTACTGATGTCACCCAGAACAAGGTCCGCTCACACCACATTCTGGTGTTTTCAATCTAACGCTTACTGAGCCCGTGGTTCTCTGCTTGGCAGATGGTTGAAGGTCACTTCAGAGAACCATACTTATTCCTTTAACATCAGAGATCTGGGAGGCAGTGAAGTATGGTGACTAATAGTGATGGCTCTCCAGTCAGATCGCTTGGTTTGAGTCCCATTGACTGGATGACCTGGAGCAATGACTACCTCTCTGTGGCTCCCTTTCCTTAGCTGTACAATGTGGAATATGACAGTGAGGATTTAATAATGGCCAAACTGTATATAAAAATAGAACTCTGACCCACAAACTGTAGCAACCAGCCCAGGAAACCTACATGTTATCCACAGTAACCAGCCCAGGAAACCTACACATTATCCATAGTAACCAGCCCAGGAAGCCAGCCTGCTAGGAGCCTGCTAGGAAGTCAGTGTGCTGCCTCCACCAACAGATCCAGGAACAAACAATAACATGTGTAACAACTGGCCCAAAGCAGGCACTTGATTAACACCTGAATGTTTCGCTATTTTTCCCCACTTCCAACTTAGGACCAACCAGAGAAAGTTGGGTGTGCACCCTGACCAATCACAGAGGTTGCCTTGCTTCTGGTTAGCCTTTGCAGCTTCCCCAGGCCACCAGCCTCCAATCAGGGCGCACCTGAGCCCCCTCTCCCCTCCACTGTAAAGCTCTCCCACTCTTCTGCCTGTGAGTCGCTGTCAAACACAAGTGACAGCAGCTGGCCCCCTTGCTCTAGCTTTGAATAACTAGTCTGTGCGTGTTCTCATTTGGGCAGCCTTTGTTAATTTCCACACACAAAGTAGAGATTCTTTTAAGTAAAACTGATAAAGGAAGAAAGACCTCAAACATTTCCATTTCACCAGGGATCTAACAGCCCGTATGTACTGGATTTCACTGGCTTGGCTGAGCATCCGTTGTCCACAAAACAATTTTCTAGATGCCGTGGGGGAGACAGATGAGGGCGGCATGGCTTCTGAGTACAGAGAAATCGACAACCATCCAGATGATTATACATGAGACAGAACTTGTGTGTTTGATAAAGATGGTTCAAGGTATAATGGGAGGTAAGAGAGAGTGGGCACATCTATTCGAAGGATCAATAGAAGCAGCAAGAAGGAAGTGTCAAATATTTAGAGTAAAAAATTAAAGGCAGGAAATATGGTCAGTACATACTAATAAAATAAACTCACTACTTAAAATTAAATTTTGCATTTTGTCCCATTCAGACCTTTAAAATCTTTGGATGAACGATAGAGATGATACACAGAGTTGAAGTCCTTTCCTACTTCTTCTAGTCCCACTCCCCTCTTACTCCTGATAGCATCCTTATCATGGATTTGGAGCTTTTTCAGGAATTTGGAGTCAATCTCTGAAGAATGGCTATGAGTTTTGAAAGGCAGAGTGGGGAGAAGGCAGGCATTCCTGGGAGAGGGAGCGCCACAGGCAAAGTAGGGAAGTGAAGGATGAGTTTGGGGGAAGTGCTTGTGGCTTGGTTTTGTGTGAGCGTGTAACAGGTGTGGGCCATGAGGCTGCAAAGAAGGCTTGGGCCTTGAACATGGAGTGACTTGAAAGCCAGAGAATGAGAATGGTCTGTACTGGGTTTCTGAGCAGAAGAGTGTGAAGTGGCTAAGACCTCCAGAGGCTAAATCAGAGGCCATAGTTTAGAGGGCGAGTAGGAGGGTCTGGGTCAAGGGTGATGACAGAGCAATTGGAAAGGAGATCATGAGAGGCCCTGGGCAGGTCATCTCGGACGGAAATGTCAGAGGGAAGCCAGGAGGGGCCCATTGGCGAGTGGGCGTGTCGTGAGTATGCATGTGCATGTGTCTGTGTGTGCGTGTGTGTGACGCTCTGGGCATGCCTGTGGTAGTGCAGCTCCGTACGGGGCACCCGAGGAGGCTGGCTCACATGCAGGGTGGGGTCATCACTGTGGATGCGAAAATTGCTAATAGGTCAGAGCGGACAACTTGAGCCAGGAGATGTTGACAAACAGGAGAAAAGATCTCGGCGGACACCTCTGTGAACTGCCAACTACAAAAGGTCAGAAGAGCCCAAAAAGGTGAGGAGGAGGTGCAGAGCCCCCGGAAGGACCCGAGAAGCCGAGGGGCCGAGTGCTACGGGGCAGGGTCCAGCACCGGGCAGGGGTGAAGCCCTCTTGAGAGCTGGCCTGACGCGCCTCCTGCACCCCTCCTCTTTAGGGCCCTGATTCAAAGGTGGAGCATCACCCCGCAGCCGACTAGGGGGTCCGGGGGCCCGCCACGTGGCATCCAGACTGGAGCCGGTGGGTACCCGGTCCGCCCCAGGCCCCGCCCCCCTCTTCCAGGGCCGCGATTGGCCGAGGAGCTCCCCTGTTGCTATGACAGCGCCCGAAGTCTGCCAGTGGCTCCTCCCCCACCGGGAGGGAGGCGGGGCTGGCCGCATCTCTATGGCGACGGCGGACGCGGCGGGGCGGGCGGCGGGTACTTACCGACTAGCGACTCGCGGACGGCGCCGGGGATCCAGGCTGGGGGGAGGCCATGTCGGACCTGGAGTCCGAGGAGTTGGAGGAGGAGAGAGAGGATGATCTGGGGGTGAGAGCTCCGGGCAGGGAGGGGCTTCCCGGGGGCGCGCGGCGGGCGGCCCAGCGGAGGCCGGTTCCGAGAGTGGGGAGGCCGGAGGCCAGCCCCAGCACCCCCGGAGGCCCAGCCCGGGACGCGGACGAGCGGCCGCTGCGTTCTGGAAGTCGGTGGTGAAAGGTGAAACGCTGTGACGTCTGCCTGCCGCACGCCTCTCGCTCTGCCCCTCCAGTTAAAGGCACAGATTCCTGGTCAGATGCTGTGGGGCGTCCTCCTTCCTGCTGTCACCCTCCATCGGCGGGTTTCTGGGACGGCTGGGTCACCCCAAGCTGCCATACTGTTCCTGAACAGGTCCTTTCTGTAACGGGGCTCGTCTCTGCAGCACTAAGGCGGGAGGGAAGGCCACTTCCTGGCAGCCTTCAAGCACTGCTAGTTCTCAGGCTCAGTGAAGCGTTACTGTGCAGGCCTGTGTCACATGTGCCTGCTTAACTTGTGGGAACCGGCCCAGGTCGTCGGAATTATTCCCTAGTTCGGCAGCAGAGAGGGGGTAGCATGAACATCTGGTGCGTGAGTTGGGCTCTGAGGGGCCCCTGTGTACTGCCCAGGGATTAACCTCCCTAACCCTGAGGGGTGGCCGTTTCCTGACTGACAGGTTGGGAAATTAACAAAGGCTACCCAAATGAGAACAAGCACAGACTAGTTGTTCAAAGCTAGAGCAAGGGGGCCAGCTGCCATCACTTGTGTTTGACAGCGACTCACAGGCAGAAGAATGGGAAAGCTTTACAGTGGAGGGAAGAGGGGGGCTCAGGTTGGGAACTCAGGCATTCCTGGGAGAGGGTGCACCAGGGCATAGAGTTGAGATAGGTTCAGAATTAACTGAAAAATCAAGCACCTCAACAGACGCAATTGGTGCCTGCTCAGACCTTTTTGCCAGCTTTGCATACCCATCTCCCAGCTTCTGCCTGATTTGCTGTCCAGACCAGCACTTGGCCTTTAGGAGGAGCCAGAAGTGCTTGGGACCTAGGTGGCCCCGGACAGTCAGCACCTAGTGCTAGTAAGAAGCAGGACAAGCTGCAGTGACTCGCGCTCCAGAATCCCCTGTGCGATGGGGATAGGCTGGGTCTGGGACAGCACACCTGACGTGCCTCCCAGCAAGCCTGTTCACCGACCTGCTCTTTCATGTTCCCTGCCTGCCTTGTTGCTTTCCCTGGGGGGCACTTTAAAATCACTTGCTCAGAGTCTGCTTCTCAGGGAAACCAACCTACAGTACCCGCCTGGCAAGCTTTCTAGTTTGTCTCCTCAGACAGCCCTACTGATCTGTAACTTTTTAGTGCCCACATTTCTTAGGTTCAAATCACAGGTGGGGTCATTTTAAAGGGTTTGCTTCCTGTGTAGCCAGCCCGGGGGCTCTGTACTGGGTGAACTGGGAGGTCTTTGCAGCAGGAGGAGGGTCTTTGTGTACATTTTTATTATTTAAACTAACACTGAAACAAATCTGTAAGGTCACAAATTTTTACCTTACATTCTGAGCAAGAATTTCTGAGCCAAACAATGCCAGAAAAGGGCAAGAACTACAAAAATGCTTATTTCTGAAATCCTCATTTTTGTATCTGATCTTGCCTGGTAGTAAGTCTATACTGATTCACCTCCACGTTTAATTCCTATGCTTGACTGTTTTATCATCTATTACATGCACCCTGTGCTCATGTATTAGGTGTATAAAATGTATAAAATGAATAAAACATTCATTTTATGAAGGATAGAGAAAAATAGACAAATTACAAGCCATTATGTTTTTTATTAATTTATTCTAGATATGTAATTACATATTGAGCTATGAGTATTTGAACCCTAAGTCTCTTGATAAGGAGTTTCAAAATAGGATCAACTAAGTTGAGTTAGGAGACATGACAGTTGAGGCCTGCTTACTCCTCTGCTCCCCCCTGCTTCTCTCCGGCCCCCTGGAGCTTCCTCAAAGGTCAGAGCTGTTTGCAGATCCCAGACACCCCAGGGACATTGGAAGGAAGGGTTACTTTTCTCAGGGCATTTACATCTTAAGTCTGGAATATTGGGGAAAGCAATGAGGAGGTATTTGTGTGATCAGGGACCTGTTCCACCTGTGTATGCTATTTCAGGATGTTCATATGAAGAACAAGACTTGGAATACAGGCATTATTCATACGTTAGTTGATTTTGTTTATAGTGCAAAGGATTATCATAATAAATTGCAAGGAAGAGAGTGAGGCTGCCACCACAGCCAGGTATTAGCTGTGTGACACTGGACCAATGCTTCATGTCGCCCAGGCATGTTACCTACACCACCTGTAAGTTGGGGCAAAGGATAGGAGGATTCAGCAGAATACATCTAGTACAGTGCATGACACACAGTAAATCCTTAATATGGGGTAACTGCAATTGTCCTGATTTCTTTTGCTCAGGAATATGAGGGGGAACGGAATGAGGCAGGTGAACGGCACGGCCATGGGAAGGCAAGACTGCCCAATGGGGACACGTATGAAGGGAACTACGAATATGGCAAAAGACATGGCCAGGTCAGAGTCTGTGAGTGGGTGGTTTTTTTCCACTTAATACTCTAATTAGTGAGTATTAAATTCAGGAATGATACAAATGATATGATCAATGTGTTTCAGGGCATCTACAGATTTAAAAGTGGTGCTCGATACGTTGGAGAATATGTTAAAAATAAAAAGCATGGTCAAGGCACCTTTATATATCCTGATGGATCACGATATGAAGGTAATGTGTTCTCTCACAAAGCAGATTTTTGTGTGGCAGAGGTGTTCTTTTGGGAATGAGCTTGTCTGTGGATGCTGAGATACATGAGAAAACTTAAAAGTTCTCCAGATTAATAAGTTATTTAACAAACACAAACTATGTTCCTATATTCACAAGGTTGATGCAGGAAACACAAGCCTTATGATTAATGAATAGATTTACAGTGGGAAAAATAAGTGTCCCTGTGACCTGCGCACTCTCCCTGTGAGTGTTTGAAAACAGATGCAAACGGGACAACTGGTGGAGCGTAGACCTTGGGGAATGGGGTGCATCCATGATGCTAGGTGTTCTGTGGCTTTTGAGCCCTTGAAGTTGTTCTTGCTATTTCCATTTCCTCAATTTATTGTATCTGACCTTGCCCGGTAGTAAGTCTATACTGATCTGCCTCCGCCCCCACCCCCTCTTCTGATGAACATACCATTTCTTTAGACCTGACAGGCCCTTCCTTAAGGGCTTGTGGTCTGGGAGACACTCTGCCTTCTTAAGTGGCATTCCAGCCTCCGCCACAATTCCTTACCTGCAGTGGTATGTCTCAGGAAGATTCCTGTGTCCTAATTTCCATGAACCTCCCTGCTGTCCCCACGCATCACTGCCACCTCTGCGACTATACTCTTAGTCTACTCTCAATGAGGATGAAGGCAATTCTGAACCTGGGAAGAGAGACAGATGGGGAACAGGTCTGAGCCTTTGGAAACCGTGTACAAACTTCTTTGTTCTAGGCTTTTTGTCTGGGAAGAATTTATCTTGCTTTCGTTTGATTTCTAGAAAGGTCTGTGCCCCCACCTCCAGAACTGTGGTGACTATAAATCTGACCTTGTACAGGGGACCTAACCCCTCCTGGGCTCAGCTTTCTCATGCACAGGGGTCAGGATTAAATGCATTCATACACGTGGAACACAGAACCACGCCTGATGGATGAGGGCACCCAGCAAATGTCATCAGGGCAATGATGGACCGTGTGAGGACATTGCCTCCTAGCAAGGATGAAATTCCCTTTCAGTGCAAACCAGAGCATCCTGTCGTGTTGCCAGATAAGGCCAGAACTGTGGAATTCTAAAACAGCTTCTGCTAGAGTGTGAGACCCAGCGGAGAGCGTTAAAGCCTGTTCCCCTTAGAGATAGGGTTTCTGTTTTGTTTCATGTATCCTAGAAGTCTTGCTCTCAAAGAAGTACCACCTGCCTTTTGAGTTAACCATTTAATTTAGGGCTTAATTTCTTTCCAAATCCTTTTGAACCTATTCTCATTGCCATTTTGATTTTTGAATAAATATATAAAAATATATATAAATATATAAAAAAAGATATTCACAATAAGGGATTGAAGGAGGTTTTAATATGAAGGTAGCTAACATGGAATTTCTTTGGAAAAGTTGTAAATTTTTGTTTCTCCATTTGATTTCCTGTCATAAGGGGTGCAGTCACTACTCGGACCTCTCTGCGGTCAAAGCTAGGATATTAATGTTAGTTCAGTAAGTGAACAACCTTACAATCATAAAGTCTAAGTTAACCTATGCCCACATTTTCACTAATTCTGTCGTGGCCAACTGCCAGCATCAAGGGCACAGAAGAGTTTCCTGCAGGTTAGCTGGGTGCTCAGCCTTGGCCAGAGGCATGGCCGCATCAGTGGCGACCCAGATGCTGAGCCAGGTCCATTTAGGGTGCCCAGGGGCCAGCAGCACAGTGGCAGAGGCTCTCCTGGGCTGGTGGGTGTGGACCAGAGGCTGGGGAGCAGGGGTTCTTGGGGAAGGGAGGTGAAACTGGAGGGTGGGTGGGTGCTGACATCGAGCGGCACTTGGACACCTCTGCAGACTCTGAAACATGGGGAAGGGGGCCAGTGGGGGCTTGGGAAAGGAGAAGGGGGTATCACTAGCCGATGCAGGGCCTGTTGGCTGCCAAATGGAACTCATAAAAATGAAGATGTTTAATCATGAAATTGGGAGAAGCAAGATGATGTGACAAGGGGAAACTGGCTTCCGGAGGCTCTCAGGCGGCAGGAGCTGGAAGAGGTGAGCACACTGCTTTTAGACTGTTTGGACAGGAGCATGAGGTTGGAAGGAGACCAACCTGGAAACTTCTGATTCAGCGATGCTGTGTGACCTTGGGTGACGTGCATGAGCTCTCTGGCTTTTCGTGCTTCAGTCATCACACACCCCGAATGACATGCAAAGACCTTGCTGGTGGGGAACTACAGAGGGTTCCCCACAAATGCTGACTCCCTTCTCATCCATGTTTTGCTGACCCAGCAGCAGAGGAAGCCCACTTGGCAAACTGGAGACCAACCTGCATTTTAGGTGGGGGGATGCTCCCGGGGAAGACTTTCCATTTTACAAGGTCTTTCACCCCCGGAGCACCAGGCCTGGGGAGCCATGGGGATGACACACGCGGAGAGGTTCACCACCAACAAAACCCCAACCTCACTCCACCAGCCAGCTGTAGGGGCTTCTCCTGAAAAGAATGAAATTGAAAAAAACCTCAGTTGACAAGACCAAGAATGATGAGAAAGTATAGGGTTAGGGGAAGAAAGAACTAAAAAAACAAAGTTTATGCAGATTAAAAGCAGTAGTAGTAAAATTTCTGAATTGCATTCACTTCAAAAAAGGAAATCTGACTTGTGACTGTGAGAGGCGGCCTTTCCTCGGTTACCTTCCTCCCTTCTGCACAAGTTTGTGGTCAGATTATCATCTGCTGGGCAGAATCTCTAACAAGTTGTTAAGTTTGGCACTTTAAAGAAGTTTGTTCCCCAGTTCTCAATGGCTTGGAATTTAGTGCCTTTTTCAATTTAATTGTTTTCTTCCAATTTTTGAAAAAATTCCTGCAAAATACTCAATATATTTTTCTTGCCACACTACCCTGCAGACCAGCTCACATGGTCAAGAGAAAAGAATGTGATAGTTTTGTATTGGCCTTTTCTTGGGAAGAAACCAAGCCATGTGTGTGTTTTGGCGCCCAGGACTGGGCTCACAGGTCTGGGCTGCTTGCCCCAGCTCCTCACTGTAGGGTGAGATTGACCACTGTGGGAATGTTCACATCACAGAAACTGGTGCATGCTGCAGATCTGGGGGGTTTCTCCTCCGCGGATCCTTCTTCCTCTTAACTGATAATTTACCAGGACACCACTGCCCCATAAAATCCAGACAAGTTTTCTCAAAAAACTCAAAATAGAGAAACCATTTGACCCAGGAATTCCACTCCTAGGAATTTACCCTAAGAATGCAGGAGCCCAGTTTGAAAAAGACAGATGCACCCCTATGTTTATCACAGCACTATTTACAATAGCCAAGAAATGGAAGCAACCTAAGTGTCCATCAGTAGATGAATGGATAAAGAAGATGTGGTACATATACACAGTGGAATATTATTCAGCCACAAGAAGAAAACAAATCCTACCATTTGCAACAACATGGATGGAGCTAGAGGGTATTATGCTTAGTGAAATAAGCCAGGTGGAGAAAGACAAGTATCAAATGATTTCACTCATCTGTGGAGTATAAGAACAAAGCAAAAACTGAAGGAACAAAACAGCAGCAG